AGCCCTTCACTTAAAGATACAAGTTGGTCTTTGTAGGGTAGCTTAGTATGAGCAGATGCGCCTGTAGGGTCTGCCTTGGTTTCACTCTGCAGCTTTCAGGCAGAGTGGGTGCAAAATAATCTAATTCCTAGGAGGTGGCTTGAGTATTATGTTGGGAGGCATGCCCTCATGCCTGCCACCAGCCCGGTGCAGAGAGTAAGCCCTCTCCTCCCGACTCAGGGCAAACAGCCCCCTTCTTCGAGGGCGTGTTCCCCTCTCCTCTCTTCCTTCTCTCCGGCGTTGAAGCTTCGTGTGGCTGGGGTGACAGCGCAGCACAGGTGAAGTCAGCACTACGTGGTCGCGCTGAGACTCAAAGTAGCTTTCGAAAAGAAACCGTGCGCTGAGGCGCTCATCCATGGCTATCAGCTTACCCTTATCACCCCTGCAGTCTTTGAGCATTGGCATGGTGGCGCAGTGTGTTTTTCAGCGCCGCCACCCTCCCCACCTCTGTTTGGCACACAGCTTCAGAATCTACCCAGTGAGATGCTGGGGGCTCCAGCCACATATATGACCTCGCAAAGAGTTCTTATTCCCTGACGAATTCCAGTGAGCCTCGCTCATTTTCCTTTTCTAGCTTACGTTTTTCTGCTGTATGGTCAGATCGGGATGGAATGTCAAATGTAGAGTGACCAGCCCCTCGCATTCTCCCTGGGACCCTCCAGCATCCTTTCCTTCCCTAGCAGGTGACATTGACAGCCCTGTGGACAAAGAGCCATGACTTCAAGCACCCAGGTCCAGGAGCCTTCTGCTTCCCTCCCTGGGTGAGGTCTTCAAGACAACAAAAATAAGAAATAGAAAACAACAGACACCTAAGATGAGTCAAACTTTAAATAAAATCTGAGGCAGCACAGCAGCGTAGTGGTGCTGCCTTACCTCTCCTGATGCCTCCACACTTCATCTCCAATACTGGAAAGCTTGGGATCTTCACCCCTTCAGCCATCTGGACATCGAGTTGCTAAGAGCACCTCTCTGCTTCAGCCTCAGAATTGGAGATTCCTCTCTGATAGGTTGGGTAAGGCCCTAAGCCTACTGATTTTCTTAGTGCCAGTGCCATCTACACGTGAAGCTGAAGTCTTCCTCGGCCTCCAACCTTTTCACATGGCTTGTACTTGCTAGTTACAGGCTTCATGGAAAGAAGCAAAGACCAGCCCCTGGCCTGCAGGAGTGCTTGAGAAGGCGAAGATCCTCAGTGCAGCTCCTGGGGACTGAAGGAAGAGGAGAAGGGACCATAAGATGGTTAATACAAAGCCTTGACTTTTGAATGCCTGTTGGAAGGTCATGTTTGTCAAACCCTCCCTATTTCCCAGAAAGTGTATCCTGGGGCTGGGTACCATCGCAACAGGTTGGAGGCCTTCAGTGGGGCTGAGAATGGCTACCTAAGTGACCAGCCTGCCAAACAGATATAAGCCGTGAAATCCACACAAACCTCAGTCCGAAGCGCAGCCCGAGCGCAAGAGCCGAGCTCCGGCCTCACCCTCATCGCGGCAGTGACGGCGACGCGGCGGAGTGGTTACGCCCTACAGAGAGGGAACTCCGTGAGAGAATGAATGGTGTCAGTGCCAGGTGGGACTTCTCCACCCTACCCTGAATGGAACCCTCTGCCTTCAGACTCCCAATGACCGACTTCTCAAACCATCTAAAGTGATTCCTTCATTTATTTACCAGCAGAAAGGGAGCCTTGCGTCCCATGAGCACCTACCTCCTCCATTCAGCCAATCCTCTTCTCTGCATGCAATGTAAAAAATCTGTCCACAGGCTGTCATCAGCTTCACGCCTGATTTACAGATCTGAGTGTAAACCTAAAGTGCCACCTGTATCCTTCTCCATGGAACTCGCTTGCTTTGAAGAAGGCCTTGTTGGAACAAGCATAAAACAGCAGGAATTATAGCAAAGAGGTGACTCATGTCAGCCAGATCAGAGAAAGTTCCATGACTAGAAAGCCTAAAATCTCCGGGGGCAAACACAGAAGAAACACTTTATGGAATTTTAATAAGATTGAGTGATGCAGCAACTATTAACCCTGTCTTGTGGTCCTCTAAATTTAAGAAAGCGCTTCCTCCAGAGTAAAGTAATATATACATTTTGCTGCATGACTGAAACTGGTCTCTCATGCGTGGTACGCAGGCAGGCGCTTGAGGTGGTGGCGCGTGTGAAAACGGCGGTTGAGTGTAGAGTGTAATAGGCGTAAAGTGGCAAAGGTGTGGGTAGCTAGTCTGGTAAGAAGGTTACATGACAGTGGTGGTGTAAAGAAACAGACCCAGTGGCCAGCCTCCATGATAATGTTGAATGGCACCTGAGTGTAGCGGGGAAACACTTGGTATTTTGGAGGTGGGTTTGGCATGTAGAGGGCACTAGAGGTGACTGGGAGGGGAACAGGAGAGCCCAGGATGAGTTAGTGAGCCCCGAGAACCTGGCCTCTGCAGCCCTGCCCCCTCACCCTGGGGCTGGCTAGAGGGCACTATCCCAGCTACTAAGTTTTTGCAGAGAGGGTGGCGAGTGATTCTCGCCTACCTGAAGTGTGGTGGAGCACAGTAGCTGAGATGGCTTGGGAGCCTACGTAATCCACCTGCCTCTGCAGTGGGGTGGAGGCCTCCAGCTCAGAAAACGCAGTGGCTTCCAGACTCATTGTGGCCATGCTGGTGGTGGTGCCCCTCCCCGAGTGGGCTGTTTCTGCTCCTCTAAATCTTCTCTGTAGACTGCTCTTGGCAAGCCTTTATGATCCCCACCGTAAAGGGAATTCGGCTGGAAAGAATGATAAGGTTAGTAATGGCCACTTCCTTGAGGCCAGCCATAATAAATGTGGTCCTCACCTCTCCTCTGAGCAGACCCTCGCAGCACTAAGGTCCTCTTCCCACCAGCAAGCACAGTGGTCTGCGCCAGCGTGGTGTAGGTGAGGGTTCAATGGGGATATCAGCAAAGTTAGCCGAGCGCGACGCCCTCCTGAAGCCGGAACCTATGTTTAATGTCATTTGCATGGAGTTCCCAAACAGTGCAGATTTCCTGGCTCTTCCTTTGTGATTTAATTTTAACAGGACATGAGAGAGTGAAGCCCAGCACCGGTGGCCTACACCATGGTTACACACCTGGTAATCCTCAGTGCAATTTTGTGATATGACAAGTGGTGGCATGATCAGAGTGCATTTATCAGGTGTATGCAAGAGGCCCAGACTGTTTTTTGCAGGACCAACATGACTTACAAACCCTTTTACACTCTTAATAAAACACAGTGGCTTAGCTGTAAGTGCAGTGGGACCTCCGCCTGCAGTCCTTCCTGGGCTTTGTTTCTTCGTGGTGTGCAGAGTCCAGGCGCGAGTAGACTTGTTTAGAAACCCTGCTTAGCTGCAGTATTTGAGTTTGAGATATTTTGTGCTATAGCACTTGCTTGTGACAGAGTAAACACTCCCTAAGAGTGGAGCGAAATTTAGGTTTTCTTCAGTGAGCTGTGAGCCGGGACCAACAGTGGATGTGGCGTGGAAAGTCCCTTCCCACTTTGCCAAATGAGTGCAGCATGAGCTGGGCAGGTAGGAGGCATGTCTTCACTGGCGCTCCTTGAGACCCGTAGGTAGGTATAGCTATGTCGATGAAATCCATTCATCTGTGAAATTCCTCCTCCACGCTTACACTTCTAACCCCCTCTTCCTTCTCCCCTTTCCTCAACTGAACTTGCACCCCAGAGACCTGAGACACTGAGACTTCACCAGCCAAAACTCCTTAGACCTGCAACAAGATGTGGAATACTTCCAAAAAAAAGGCAAACAAAAAATAAGAAAAACAGAGTGCCCAGGCAGCAGGGTGGTAGATTCAGAGCAGTCATAAGTTCATACACCTGTGTAATCCTCTCTGCAAATTACATAATTCTTCAAGCAAAGAGTGACTGGGTCACCTGGCCCAGGAGCCTGAGACCAGCCTGACAAACAAAGCTTGGGCTGACTCCCCGCCCGCATGAATAATGGCCTAAAAAATTAGCTGGCAGTAAAAGCAAGGGACAGCATCTCGTAAGATCCTCCAGCCTCAGGAGGCTGTGGAGGATAGACTCCACGGAGCCTCCCATAAGAGCAAACAAAGAAGCCTGAACACTTGCTTTGACTTACCACTCTAATTTCCAGCCTCTGGGAAAATGCAAGTGGCAAGATTAAGGTAAACTTTAAAGAAAAAAACAGAAATAGAGTGGAGCCTTCAGAGCCTGAACTACAGCCGGGAAGTGACCTGTTAAAAAGTTGTGGTACCTTTGAGATGTAATGCACAGTGCTGTCTCTTGCCTCTGCAGATCTAAACATGCAAGAGCAGAATCAGAGAGAAACCGATCTCCACCAGACGAATCTGAAAGATGGAAGGCTGAGCAAAGCAACAGTGAAGAAATACCAAGCAGAACAAAAGAAACAGTTTTCATCATCTTCTGCAAAACAGCCCTTCACTATAAAAAGCCCGCTGCAGCACCGGCTTCCAGCGCACTCTCAGTAATATGGAAAGAACAGCATCTATACGCCTTCCTCTCCTCTGCCTTCTGCACAATGGTCACCACCCTCCTCTCCCCTTGAGCTGACTCCCTCCTCCACCCTTCTTCTCCCAGTTGAACTTAATGCGTAGGCACGCCGGGAATCATAGCTGACTTCACTTCCAGCCACTCCAGCGCTCCACTGCCTGAACACCTCCTCGTGCCTCCCTCATACTCTCCTTTTCTCCTGGCAACCTCCTTCCTGTCTTCTTCTCTTCCCACAGGTCCTCCTGAGGCCAGGCTCACCCGTGCCCCCAGTGAAACCACAATCCCCTGGAGAAATCTGGTGGGGAGCCCTAGAGTGAGTTGGGAAGTGTAACCATTCTTCCTCCGAATGCAGCCACTAGGCTTTCAGACAAGAGCTTTCCACAAGACAGTAGTAAGTATGAAAGTGAATAAAATCAGCACCACCTCCAAACTCTGAGCATCCCTCCGAGAGAGCCAAAGTTTAGCCCTGCAGGAACCTTCAAATGCAATAACTGTGCAGGTAGAAGAGGTCCACTCGGGGACACTGCAGCCGCTTCAGTGACGTCTCCAGCTGGAACCGGAGACTGTCAGGCTTCAGGGAGTTCCCAAACAGTGGATTGGCCTTCGTATCAATTTTCACTGACAGGAGAGAGAAATGAAATTCAGGGCCTGGCACCATGGCTCACACCTGTAATCCCAGCACTTTGGGAGACCAAGGCGGGCAGATCAGGAGGTCAGGAGTTCGAGACCAGCCAGACCAACATGATGAAACCCCATCTCTAATAAAAACACAAAAATTAGCCGGGCGTGGTGGGACCCGCCTGTAGTCCCCAGCTAGCCAGGAGTCTTAGGCAGGAGAATTGTTTGAACCCAGGAGGCAGAGGTTGCAATGAGTCGATATTGTGCCATAGCACTCCTGCCTGGTGACAGAGTGAGACTCCTTCTAAGAAAAAAAGGAAACTTAGTTCTCAGTGAGTCAGTGAGCTGGACTAACAGGGGAGTGGAGAGTCCTCTTCCCACTTTTCACACTTAGAAAGTCACTTAGGCTGGCAGGAGGGCAGTCACTGGAGCCCTTGAGACCTGGGAGGGAGCAGGTTTGAGGAACTATTCATTTGGAAATTTTCCATGCCACCTCCACCCCTCTCCTTCTCAACTGAACTTCACTTCAGATCTGAGATCTGAGGACTTTCACCAGCCAACCTTGGACTCAAAGAAGACAAAGAAGGATTTAAAAAAAACAAACAAACAAACAAACAAAAAAAAACAAACAAAAAAAACAGAAATAAGGGCCAGGCAGAGGCTGCAGATCTGTGTTGGCTCACACCTGTAATCTCGGCACTATGGGAGACCAAGGCAGGAGGATCACTTGAGCCCAGGAGTTTGAGACCAGCCTGGACAACAAAGTGAGACTCCCGTCTCGATGAATAATACAAAAAATTAGCCGGGTGTGGTGGCACAGGCCTGTGTTAGTCCCAGTTCCTCAGGAGGCTGAGGTGGGAGGATCACTTGAGCCCTGAGAGGTCAAAGCTTCAATAAGCCATGATCGCACCACTCCACTCCAGCCTGGGCAAAAAAAGCAAGATCATGTCTCAAAAGAAAAAAAAAAAAAAAAAACAGAAATATGGTTAGAGCTCTCAACGAGTGGCAGCCGGGTGATCTAGAAAGCGTGTGGCACTGAGATGCACGCACAGGCTGGGTTCGTTCGGGATCTACCATGTGGTGAATCAGAGGAGAAATGACTCCACTCAGACACTCAGAGTGGAAGGAGGCAAATGGTGCTAATACTAAGAACAAAGAAACAGCTAACATTTCCCAGCCCTCACTATGTGCCTGCCAGGCACTGGCCTAAGCACTGCACATGGCATCAGACTGAGGGCGCCTCCTCCTGCCCCTATACACACATCTTCCCCTCAGGCTACACCTGCTTCCTCCAGCACCCACGGCATTGCCAAATCACATTTGCTTTTCCACACCCGTGCCCACTGCCCTGACACCCTTGCCCCTCATACTCTTCCTGGCAAACTCCTCTCTGTTCTTTCTTCACAGGGTCCCTCCCAGGAAGGGCTCACTCCGGGCTCCCCAGCCATCTCTAGAATTGGAGCTTCCTGGAGTGAGTTAGTGTCCATTTCTCTCCAATAGCCAATAGCTTCAGACAGAGCTTCCCACAGACAGGGCAGTGAGAACCTGTACCGCCCCAATCCCCCATCCCCCTGAGGGAGCTGCCAAGGCTCCCGGGCACTGCCACCCTGGTGAGGTGCCTTTGAACCTGGTGAGGTGCCCTTGCGAGTACCACAAGGTACTCAGAGTAAAGTCCAGGGAGCGAGCAGGCTGGCACGTGTGAAGGAAGAAGCAGACATTGTGCTGGGTCCCAACTGATTTCGGACTGTGCCAGGGAGTGCCAGCCGATAAGCACAGAATTTCGGCAGATCAGGCCCGTCAAGGGCACCTGCAGGGCACAGGTGGGGACAGACACTGCACAATGCCAGATTCCAATGCTTTTCGTGCTCCAGAGACGGGCTAGCCAAGTCACTCCAGGCAAGACCAAGTCATCCAGACGTCAATGAGGGTGGTGGCTACCTCCCGGAAGAGAAGAGAGACGAAGAAGAGAGAAGAGAGAAAAGTTGTCCGGAGCTAGATGTGCCTGAGAAGCCTGGGGTTCCCAAGGTTGCGAGGTGGGCTGGGGTTGGAGGAGCGGGGAACAAAGCCGTGGGTGCTGCCTGAGGCCAGGGAGACCTGGGCGGTGCAAGGCTGTGGACAGTCTCAGTTCTGCACGGTGCAGGGGGAGGATCAGGGGCCAATGTTACCTCTGCAGTCGCTGCCCCCCAGCCCGAGTCCCAGGCCGCCCAGGATGGTCTCGGACTGGCCGTCGCTGTACACGAAGGCCGTGTCTATCTCGGTGTGGCCGCGCTCCAGGAAGGCTCGCGTGACTGCTGCGCTGGTGGGCGCGTCCATGCGGCGCCCCATCTCCATGGCGCCCAGCACCGTGGCGGGCCGGGCCAGTGATAGCTGCCGGGACATGACGGCGGCAACCGGATACTGCGATAGCACGAGCGCAGCGCGCAGCGCTGGGTAGTACCTGCTCCGGAACCGGCAGCTGCTTGCCTTTAGGGACTGGCTCGGGCCCCGCCCACCGGGGGGTGGAGCTGACGGGGCCCCCAAAGGTCCTCAATGCCGCCCACGCGCTCGACTCCGCGCTCGACTAGGACCGTCTGCATTTGCACCGAGCAAACTGCGAAATGGCTGGGGCTTCCTACCAGTGACTCTCGTCTTAGAGATTTTAACACTCCTCAACGTCCTCAAGGGTGAGGGGGTCCAACGGTGGCGACGATCCCAAAGGGCGGGGACTCCTCGGGCCTCCCTGCCCGATCGTCCCTCCTTCCTCGGCCTTGCCCCAGAGCTGTCCCGGGTCTCTGTCTCCTCCAGGAGGGAGCTTACGGGGTGGGGTGGACCTAGGGCTGTCGCACCTGCCGTGTGGTCCTGGAGAACGAGGCTTACCAAAAGCTCAAGACACCGTCCTCATGGAGTGACATGGTTAACGTGTTGAAAGAAAAGAACTGTTGGCTTTGAATTCTACACCTAAGTGAAAAAAAACTGACTGACTCTGGTGACTTACGCCTGTAATGCCAACACTTTGAGAGATCAAGGCAGGAGGATCACTTGAGCCCAGGTGTTTGAATCCAGCCTGGTCAACATAGGGAGGCCCTGTCTCAACAGAAAAAAAAAAAAAAAAAAAAAAAAAACATAGAAAAATGGACCAGTGCCCAGCTGCAGTGAGCTGTGATAGCGCTACTGCACTCCACCCTGGGTGACAGAGGGCATATCTGTCTGCAAATACAAAAGAAAAAAACATCAATAGACACATGGAACAAATGAAAAAACAATAGCAAAACTGATTTAAACCCAATCATATCAATAATGACATAAATATAAATGATGTAAATGCTCAAGGTAAAGGGCAGTGATTGTTAGAATGGATAAAAAAGCAAAACCGAACTATATGGTAAATACCAGAAAGGTATTCAAATATAAAAACAGAGAGAGTTTAAGAGCAGAAAGATGGGAAAAGGCATATACTGACGAAACCAAATCTTAAAAAGTTGGAATGGCTAAATGAATATCAGAGAAAGTAGATTTCAAAACAAAGACTGCCCCCACAGTGGGCGACATACTGGCCCACACCTGTAATCTCAGCACTTTGGGAGGCTGAGAAGGAAGGATTGCTTGATCCCAGGAGTTTGAGACTAGCCTGGGCAACACAGGGAGATCTTATCGCTACAAAAAAAAATTAAAAATTATCAAAATGTGGTAGCATGCACCTGTGGTCTCAGTTACTTGGGAGGCTGAGAAGGAAGAATCATCTAAGCCTGGGAGGTTGAGGCTGCAGTGAGCTGTGACCACACCACTGCACTCCAGCCTGGGCAACAGAATGAGACTCTATATTAAAAAAATAATAAAATAAATAAATAAATAAATAAATTTTAAAGGATTCCAATCATACAAAGTACATCTCTGAACACAATAGAATTAAACTAGAAAATAATAACAGAGGCTGGGCACGGTGGCTCACGCCTGTAATCCCAGCACATTGGGAGGCAGAGGTGGGCGGATCACTTAAGGTCAGAAGTTCACGACCAGCCCGGCCAATATGGTGAAACCCCATCTCTACTAAAAATACAAAAAAAATTAGCTGGGAATTGTGGCATGTGCCTGTAATCCCAGCTACTCAGGAGGCTGAGGCAGGACAATTGCTTCAACCTGGGAGGTGGAGGTTGCGGTGAGCTGAGATCATACCACTGCACTCCAGCTTGGGCAACAGAGAAAGACTCCATCAGACTCCGTCTCAAAAAAAAAAAAAAAAAAAAAAAGAAAAAGAAAAGGAAAATAACAGAATTTAGAGCCTGAGAGGGAACTGAAAGTAAGTAAATAAGTTAATAAATAGAAGAAAAAGGAAAAATAGAAAATAATAATGGAATGATATCTGGACAATCCCCAGATATTTAGAAATTAAATAACCCATGAGTGAAATATGTAATCGCAAGGAAAATTAGGTCATATTTTGAACTGAATGAAAGTAAAAACAGGACATATCAAATTTTCTGAGATGCAGCCACAGTAATGCTATGAGGGAAATTTATAGCACCACAGTGACATATTATAAAAGAAGAAATACTTCAAATCAATAATGTAAGCATTTACCTTTTTTTTTTTTTTTTTTTGAGACAAAGTCTCACTCTGTCGCACAGGCTGGAGTGCAGTGGTGCAATTTCAGCTCACTGCAACCTCGGCTTCCTGGGTTCAAGCAATTCTCATGCCTCAGCTTCCTGCATAGCTGGAATTACAGGCATGCACCACTGTGCCTGGCTAATTTTTTTATTTTTAGTAGAGAAGGGGTCTCGCCATGTTTGCCAGTCTGGTGAACTCCTGGCCTCAAGGGATCCTCTCACCTCGGCCTCCCAAAGTGCTGGGATTACAGGTGTGAGCCACTGCACTGGAAGAGGCTTTTACTTCAAGAAACCATGAAAGGAAGAGTCAAGTAAAACCAAAATTAGCAGAAGAAAGGAAATAATAAAAATTATAGCCAAAATAGGCTGATGTGGGAGAATTGCTTGAACCCGGCAGGCGGAAGCTGCAGTGAGCCAAGATCACTCCTCTGCGTGCTAGCCTGGGAAACAGAGCAAGCCGCCATCTCCAAGAAAGAAAAAAAGCCAAAATAAATGAAATAGAAAACAAAAACATTAGCAAAGGTCAGTAAAACCAGAAGTAGGTTCTATAAACAGATCACTAAAGTTGATAAACCTCTGACTAGACTGATCAGGAATAACAGAGAGAATACACAGATTAACCACACCAGAAACAGCAGAAGAGACACCACTACAGATTGTACAAAAATTAAAATGACAATAGGGTAGATGATTAAAACCTTTATGTGAATACATTTAATAAGTTAGATGAAATGGACAATTTCCTTGAAAAACACAAACTACCAAAGCCCACTAAGGAAAAATGAGACAGCCGGGCATAGTGGCTCACGCCTGTAATCCCAGCACTTTGGGAGTCCGAGGCAGGCAGATCACTTGAGGTCAGGAATTGGAGACCAGCCTGGTCAACATGGTGAGACCTCATCTCCACTAAAAATCCAAAAATTAGCTGGGTGTGGTGGTGTGCACCTGTAATCAGTTACTTGGAAGGCTGAGGCCGGAGAAACGTTTGAACCTGGGAGGCAGAGGTTCCAGTGAGCCAAGATCACACCACTGCACTCCAACCTGGGCGACAGAGCCAGACCCTGTCTTAAAAAAAAGAAAAAGAAACCAACAACCTGAACTTTTTTTTTTTCTTAAGACAGGATCTTGCTCTGTCTTCTAAGTTTGAGTGCAATAGTGCAAGCATAGCTCACTGCAGCCTCAACCTCCTGGGCTCAAGCGATCCTTCTGCCCAAGCCTCCCAAGTAGCTGGGACTACAGGTGCACCTCATTACACCCGGATAATTTTGTAAAAATATTTTTGTAGGGACAGGGTCTGGCTATATTGCTCAGGCTGGTTTCAAACTCCTGGGCTCAAGTATTCCTCCTGCCTCAGCCTCCCAATTCGCTGGAATTGCAGGTGTGAGCCATCTCGTCTACCCCAGATATTGAAATCTTAATAAAAAAATATTTCCACAAAGAAAACTGCAGGTCTCCATGGCTTCATTGGACACTTAAGGAAGAAACAACATCAATTCTGTACAATGTTTCTAGTATATAGAAGAGGAGGGATCACGTACCAACTCCTCTTGAGGCTACATTACCAGATAACAGATGACACAAAGATGTTACAAGAAAGAAACTACACACATAACCTTCATGGATCTAGACACAAAATCCTTTTTATGTTTTTCAAAAATCCCTTTAAAACTTAGCAAAATGAATACAGTAGTATATACAAACCATAATGCATCACAACCAAGTTAGTTTCATCCCAGGAATATAAGGTTGGCTTAATATTTTAAAATCAATCAATATAATTTACTGTACTAACAGGCTGTAAGATAAAACCCATATGACCATCTCAATAGATGCAGAAAAAGCACTTGACAAAATTTAATACCTATTCAAAAAAAACCTCTCAGCCAACTAGGAATAGAAGGGAAGTCCTGAAACTGATACAAAGCATCATAGGCCAGGCGCAGTGGCTAATGCCTAGAATCCCAGACTTTGGGAGGACAAGACGTGTGGATTGCTTGAGCCCAGGAGTTCAAGACCAATGTGGGCAACATAGCAAGACTGTTCTCTATAAAAAATAAAATAATTAATAAGTGGAGTGCAGTGGAGTGATCTCAGCTCACTGCAAGCTCTGCCTCCCGGGTTCACGCCATTCTCTTGCCTAAGCCTCCCGAGTAGCTGGGGCTACAGGCGCCCACCACCACGCCCTGCTAATTTTTTTGTATTTTTAGTAGAGATGGGGTTTCACTGTGTTAGCCAGGATGGTCTCGATCTCCTGACCTTGTGATCCACCCGCCTCAGCCTCCCAAAGTGCTGGGATTATAGGCGTGAGCCACTGCGCCCGGCCAAAATAAAATAACTTTTAAAGGGCATACACAAACACCTACAGCTAATATATTTAATGATGAAATCAGACAGTTTTGCCCCTAAGATTGGGAATGATGTCCACCAATGATGTCCACTCTTATTCAACATTGTATTGAAGATGCTAGTTATTTCAACGTATTTCTGTTTGTTTGTTTGTTTGTTTGTTTTTTGAGACAGGATCTTGCTCCGTCACCCAGGCTGGAGTGCAGTGGCATGGTCTTGGCTCACTGCAGCCTTGACCTCCTCCTGAGTTCAAGAGATCCTCCTACTTCAGCCTCTGGAGTAGCTGGGACTACAGGTGCACACTACCAACCTGGATAATTTTGGGTTTTTTTTTTTTGTAGAGATAAGGTTTCACTATGTTGCCCAGGCTGGTCTCCAATTCCTAGGCTTGAGTGATCCTCTTGCTTTAGCCTCCCAAAACGTTGGGATTACAGGGGAGCCACTGTGCCTGGCCATGGACATAGTTCAGTACATGAGTAATAATAGACATTTTCTTACATAACTATAATACCCTTGTCATGCTAACAAAATTAACGACTCTTTGGTGTCACCTAATACTAGGTCCATATTCTTTCTTTTTTTTTGTTTTTTGTTTTTTTTTGTTTTTTTTTTATGGAGTCTTGCTCTGTTGCCAGGCTGGAGTGCAGTGGTGTGATCTCAGCTCACTGCAACCTCCGCCTTCCGGGTTCAAGTGATTCGCCTGCCTCAGCCTCCCGAGTAGCTGGGACTACAGATGTGCACCAACACGCCCAGCTAATTTTTTGTGTGTGTTTCAGTAGAGACAGGGTTTCACCATGTTGAACAGGATGGTCTCGATCTCCTGACCTCGTGATCCGTGCGCCTTGGCCCCCTGAAGTGCTGGGATTACAGGTGCAAGCCACCACACCCGGCCCACCAGGTCCATATTCAAATATCCCTGAGTGTTAAAGAAATGTATGTTTCAGTTGGTTCGAGTTAGGATTAAAATGTGATTTACATACTGC